AACTATTAAAGCAATTTCCCAAACTTAAACACAAGTTTCCTAAAATCCGACCTCGGGCCCACGTGCCCGATTCGAAGAAAGTTGTTCTTTATAACCCAAGGATCAATAATATATGATTTCTAATTCATTTCATAGCAAATTTCGTGGTCAAATCTAACTTTTGTCGAAACCCTAGGTTTTGCTCTAACCCCATGATTTTACCTAAATCTTTGTGTGTTAATCTACCTAAGACTCGAGTATTAAACTAGAAATAGATAGGATAAACTTACCTCAAGATGCTAGGTGAAGGTCGTCTCTCAAGAGCTCCAAAATCGCCCAATGGATGAGTGAAAAATGGCCAAAGATGACTTGGAGCCCACAATAAATGAAGCTCTCTGCTTTAGTGATTTCTGCATCTGCGGTTAGGGGACCGCATCTGCGGAATTGGCCAAGCAGGACTGGGACCGCTTCTGCTGTCTTGAAGCCGCTTCTGCAGCTTGGGAGCCGCTTCTGCGGTTTTGGGCATGGCCTATTTTGGCCGCATCTGCGAGAGGACGACCGTTTTTTGCGGTCTCGAACTTATGGCTGACCAACCGCAGGTACGATTATGGCAGAAACTAGATGCTTCAGCTCTTTTCCAACTTCACTCGAGCCTCGTCTGATTGACGCTCGGGGCTCCCGAGCCCCGCCTGAACATACCGACAAGTCTGAAAGCATGAAATGGACCTCTCGAACCTTCGGAACACCCGAAACAATGCTAAATCTACGAATCACCCCCTAAAACCAATTGAATCATCCTTATGAACTTCAAGTTCTTAAATTCACTTCTAACGTGCCGAAACGTTCTTATACTACTCGGATTGACACCAAATTTTTCGGGCAGGTCTTAAATATTATATTGGACCTGTATTGGGCTCCGGAACCAACATACGAGCCCCACACCAACGTGATTAATCATTATTTAGTTTCTTTAAATCCTTATATTTTCAGTTTAACAATTTCTAAAAATTCATTACTCGGGCTAGGGACCTCGGAATTCGATTCCGTACATACGCCCAAGTCCCATATTTTCCTACAGACCCTCCGGGACCGTCAAAACACGAATCCAGGTCCGTTTGCTAAAAATGTTGACCAAAGTCAAACTTATCCTTTTAAGAAAACCTTAAGGAATCAAATGAGCATATTTCAACCCAAATTCTTCCAAATCCCGAACCATCCATCCCCCAGGTCGTAAATTAGTTAAAGCAAGCACAGGAAGTTTTATTTAGGGGGATGGGGTTCTAAAAAGCAAAACGACCAGTCGGGTCATTACATACTCCACCTCTTAAACAAATGTTCGTCCTCGAACGGACATAGAAAAGTACCTGAGGTGCTGAATAAATATGGGTATCTTCTCCGCATGTCCTCCTCGGACTCCCAGGTCGCCTCCTCGACTGGTTGGCCCCTCTGCTGGACCTTTACTATTGAAATTCTCTTGGATCTTAACTGCTGATCTTGTCTATCAATAATGACAACTGGCTCATCCTCGTAACTCAGGCTCTCATCCAACTAAATAGTACTGAAGTCCAACACATGGGAAAAGTCGGCATGATACCTCCGAAGCATAGACACATGAAAAACTAGGTGAACTCCCGATAAACTAGGGGGTAAAGTAAGTTCATAAGCAACCTCCCTAACTCGCCTCAACACCTCAAATGGGCCAACAAACCTTGGGCTCAGTTTTCCCTTCTTTTCGAACCTCATAACACCCTTCATTGGCGAGACTTTCAAGAGGACCTTCTCGCCAACCATGAATGATACATCACGCACCTTCTGATCCGTGTAACCCTTCTGTCTAGACTGAGCTATGCAAAGCCTCTCCTGAATAAACTTTACCTTGTCCAAGGCATCTTGCACCAAATCTCTATCGTATAACTTAGCTTCACCAGGCTCAAACCACCCGATAGGAGAACGACACCTCCGACCGTATAAGCCTCAAATGGAGCCATCTCAATGCTGGACTGATAGCTGTTGTTGTAAGTGAGCTCTACCAAAGGCAAGAACTGATCCCACTGCCCTCCAAAGTCAATCACACATGCCCTGAGCATGTCCTCCAAAATCTGAACTGTCTGCTCCAACTGCCCGTCAGTCTGAGGATGAAATATTGTGCTAAGCTCTACACGGTTCCCTAACTCATTCTGAACGGCTCTCCAGAAATAGGAAGTGAACTGAGGGCCTCTATCTAATACGATGGAAACGGGCACACAGTGCAACCTGACTATCACCCGAATGTAAATCTGGGCCAATCTCTCTGAAGTGTAAGTAGTCACAACCGGAATAAAGTGCAGCGACTTGGTCAATCTGTCCACAATGACCCATATTGCATCAAACTTTCGCAAGGTCCAGGGCAATCCAACTACGAAGTCCATAGTAATGCGCTCCTACTTCCACTTTGGGATAGGCATTTGCTGAAATAGGCCACCTGGCCTCTAGTGCTCATACTTAACCTGCTGGCAATTCAAACACTTAGCCACATACTCCACAATGTCCTTCCTCATTCTCTGCCACCAATAATGCTGCATCAAGTCACAATACATCTTCGTCGCACCCAGATGAATGGAATACCGTGAACTATGTGCCTCATCTAGTATCCTCTCCCTTAGACCATCAACATTAGGAACACATAGGCGACCCTGGAGTCGCAAAACACCATCATCACCAATAGAAACCTCCTTGACACTACCCTGAAGTACTGCCTCTCTGAGAACTGCCAAATGTGGATCATCGAACTGCCGGGCCTTGATCTTCCATAATAATGAAGACTGAGCAACAACGCACGCAAGAACTCGGTTGGGCTCTGAAATATCCAACCTCCCAAGTCTGCTAGCCAAGGACTGAATGTCCAAAGCTAGTGGCCTCTCCTCTGCTGGAATGAATGCCAAGCTACCCATACTCTCTGCTTTTCTGCTCAAGGCATCTGTGACCACATTTGCCTTACCCGGATGATAAAGAATGGTGACATCGTAATCCTTCAGCAGCTCAAGCCATCTACGCTGCCTCAAATTGAGATCCCTCTGCTTAAACAAGTGCTGTAAATTGCGATGATCAGTATAAACCTCACATGATACCCCGTACAGATAATGCCTCCATATCTTAAGAGCATGAATAATCGCAGCCAACTCCAAATCGTGTACAAGATAATTCTTCTCATGGATCTTCAGCTGACGCAAATCATATGTAATAATTCGCCCCTCGTACATCAATACATATCCCAATCCAACATGCGAAGCGTCACAATATATCGTATACATCCCCGAACCGGAAGGCAACACAAGAACTGGTGTTGTAGTCAAAGGTGTCTTGAGCTTCTAAAAGCTCGCCTCACAATCATCGGACCAATAGAAAGGAGCACCCTTCCAGGTCAATCTAGTCAGAGGTGATGAAATAGATGAAAAGCCCTACACGAATCGTCTATAATAACCTACTAACCCTAGGAAACTCTTGATCTCGATCACTGAAGTAGGACGTGGCCAACCCTGAACTGCCTCGATCTTCTTGGGATCCACCTTAATACCCTCTCCTGACACCACATGCCCCAAAAATGCCACCGACTCTAGACAAAACTCACACTTGGAGAACTTAGCATATAGTTTCTACTCTCGCAAGGTCTGAAGCACTATTCTCAACTACTGCTCGTGCTCCCCCAGGCTATGTGAGTATATCAAGATATCATCAATGAAGACGATTACAAAGGATTAAATATAAGGCCTGAACACCCTGTTCATCAAGTCCATAAATGTTGCTGGGGCATTAGTCAAGCCAAAGGACATCACCAGGAACTCATAATGGCCATATCTAGTTTGGAATGCAGTTTTCGTAACATCCAAGTCCCGAATCTTCAACTGATGGTACCCTGACCTCAAGTCAATCTTAGAGAACACCCTAGCACCTTGCAACTGGTCAAACAAATCATCGGTGTGAGGCAATGGATACTTGTTCTTGATGGTGACTTTATTCAACTGGCAGTAATCAATGCACATCTGCATAGTCCCATCCTTCTTCTTCACGAATAACATTGGTGCACCCCAAGGCGATACACTGGGTCTAACAAACCCCTTTGCTAACAACTCCTCAAGATGCTCCTTCAACTCTTTCGGAGCCATTCTGTACGGTGGGAGAGATATAGGCTGGGTGCCTAGAGCCAAATCAATACAGAAATCAATATCATGATCCGGTGGCATGCCAGGAAGATCAGAAGGAAACACATCGGCGAACTCTTAAACTACTGGAACTGAATCAATTGTCGGAGTCTCTGCGGTGGTGTCGCGAACATAAGCCAAACACCCCTTCTCGACCATTTGCCAAGCCTTCAGGAAAGAGATAACCCGGCTAGATGTATCAACTGTAGAACCCTTCCACTCCAACCCTGGCATCACTAAAGTAACGGTCTTGGTATGGCAATCTAGGACAGTGTGATACAGAGATAACCAATCCATGACTAGGATGATCTCAAAATCAATTATATCGAGCAACAGGAGATCTGCTCTAGTCTCGAAACCATAGAATGTGACCACATAGGACCGGTAGATCCAATCCACAACCATAGAATCGCCCACAGGAGTGGACACATGAACAAGAGTGCCCAAGGGCTCAGAAGCAATAACCAGAACACGAGCAAACAGAGATGACACATACAAATAGGTAGACCCTGGATCAAATAATACCAAACCATTTCTACCGCAGAGGGAAATAATACCTGTGATGACGACATCTGAGGCCAATGCATCTGGCCTAGCCGGGAGAGTATAAAATCTGGCTGGAGCGACGGCTGGCTGACCTCTCCCTACCTGGCCTCTACCTCTAGGATGGCCCCTACTAGTCTGCCCTCCACCTCTAGGTGGCGGGGCAGCCGGTGTTAAAATCATAGGTTGCTGACCCTGCTGTACTGCCTTGCCCCGAAGCCTGGGGCAGTATCTCATCATATGACCAAGGTCTCCGCACTCGAAACAATCCCATGGTGCAGCGACCTGCTGCCCTGATGGCTAACCCTGATGGCCTGTAGACCCATTGGAAGAAGCCTGCATAGCCGGTGGACGGTATGAACTCTCCGGCATAGCACTGAAATAAGAATCAGAAGAACCCTGAGGACCTAAATACCCGCCGGAGAAACCCTGAATAGCTGGTGGGCAGTATGAACTCTCCGGCATCACACTAAAATAAGATCTCACTGGAGCACCTCGAGGAGGTGGTGGTGGTGCTGAATATGGGGGCTTGCTAGGATGACCCCTCCCCGTGTGCCCCCTACCACTGGCTGGGCACCTCTGAACTCTCCAGAAAATCGGGCCCTCTTGTCCTGCTGAAACTTCTCTCTACCCCTCTGGCGATAACCCTCAATCCTGCGAGCAATCTCCACCACTAGCTGATACTCAGTACCCATCTCTACCTCTCGGGCCATGCTAGCTCGAATACCGGGGTGCAACCCCACAACAAATCTATGCACTCTCTCTGCATTTGTGGGAAGTATCATGAGTGCATGGCGAGATAACTCAGAAACCCTCGCCTCATAATCGGTCACGGACATCTGACCCTACTCAAAATGCTCAAACTGATATCGCAGATCTTCCATCTCAGAGGGTGGAATATACCTATCCAAGAATAACTGTGTGAACTGACCCCAAGTGAGGGGAGGCGAACCTGCTGTCCTGCCAAGAACATAGGACTGCCACCATCTACGGGCCTTGACCTCTAACTGAAAAGTAGTGAAGTCAACTCCATGCGACTCCAATATCCTCATATTGTGCAGTCTGTCCCTGCATCTATCAATGAAATCCTGGGCATCCTCATGGTGCTCACCCCCGAAGATAGGAGGGTGAAGTTAAGTCCATCTATCCAATAACCTCTGTGAGTCACCATCCGCAGTTGGTCTGGGCTCGGGCACCACTGCGGTAATTGGTTGAGCCCCAACTGTGGGTAGTGCACCCGGAGTCTGATACAATATAGTTGCGTGACCAAGAGCCTGAGCAGTAGGGGTATGTGCTCCCCCTCCTGCCTGTGATGTAGCTGGATCTGCTAGAACTAAACTAGCCTGAGTCATGGTATCCATGAACTGCAGCATACGGCCCATGACCTCCTAGAAACCTGGTGCTGTCATAAAGTCTGTCGGGTAGGCTCGGCTGCGGGCACCTCGCCCTGCTCCTCAACGATAGGGTCTCCTGTAGGATCTGCTGATGGTGCTACTGGGACAGCTCTGGTACGCCCTCATCCCCTACCTCGGGTCAGTGCCCTCCCCCGGCCTTTGCCTCGGCCTCTAGCAACGGGAGGAGCAGCCTCTCCCGAGTCTGGAACATCCGCCGTGCATGTCCTCACCATATGTGAGAGAATAGAAGAAAGACATTTAGTGTACCATCCATTGCATGATAGGAAATGAATAAAGAGTAGTTTCCTAACACCCTACAACCTCTCGAAGATACATACAGACGTCTCCGTACCGATTTGCAAGACTCTATTAGGTTTGCCCATGACTTGTGAGACCTACGTGAACCTAGTGCTCTGATACCATGTTGTCACGACCCAAATTCCACTTCAAGTCGTGATGGCTCCCAACACCATTGTTAAGTAAGTCAACACGGAAGTATTGGTAAATCCTTATTTTACTTACCAAAGCAGTTCTACATTTTTCTTAATGTGCAATTACAACACGTGATAATAGGCAATATTCAATAATAGATATACAGCCCAAAAGAACTGTCTACTAAAGTGTGTGCCAAGACCTGGTGTCACAAGCTATGGGCAACTAGTAGAATATACAAAATAATAAATCTATCCTACTGTCTGAAACAGGATAGACAGTCAAAATCAAGAAAGACTCCATCCAGCTGCTGATCGGCACAAGAAGGAAAGCAGCTCACCGTGGAAGTCTCAGACTATGATCAGGGACGCGCGCCAGTCTGATAGCCAGATGTACCTACCTCAGAGCCTGTATAATTAAGTACAGAAGTGTAGCATGAGTATATAAACAATATGTACCCAGTAAGTATCATGTCTAATCTCGAAGAAGTAGAGACGAGAGGTCGACTTGATACCTACTATGGCCAAATAATATATAATATGATGTTATGTCAGGCATGATGGTCACAATTATATAACAGTTGAAATAAGAATTTCTAGGTCACGTCATTTTAATATTCCGGTTGATCCTTTACAATTCAAACCATGTATCAGTAAGTCATCAATAATAATTTCACATAGATATCATGCACACGTCGTGCCGAGGTCGACGGCCCTATCCAACATAAAAAGAAACTGTGCACTGCCAGAGGGTCGAATGATGCGAACCATAGATGCATCTATTTCTACCGAGGCGATCGGCCTGATCCACAAATATCAATTATCAACAAAAAAGTATAAGAAGGCCCATTTACATTCAAATAAACTCTTACAAGTGCTCAACACAGCATAAGTTCACTTATGTTCATTTCCAATTCTCCAGCATATCCTAAATGATCACATTATCTAGAAGACATATAACATTAATAAATATAGCATGATACGGGTCCTAAACTACCCGGACAATTAACATGATAGTAGCTACGCACGGACTCTCGTCACCTAGTGTGTACGTAGCCCTTGCATTTAGTGGCAAATTACACAATTTTTACTCCTATGGGGACAATTCCTTCTTACAAGGTTAGAAAGGAGACTCACCTCACTCCAAAGTGCACTTCCAATAAACGAGCCCGAACTTCTCAATTTGGAGCCGAATGATCCAAAACTAGTTAAATGGGGTAAGAACCAGTCAATATAAGCTCACAAGATCACATTCTAACTATTAAAGCAATTTCCCAACCTTAAACACAAGTTTCCTAAAATCCGACCTCAAGCCCACATGCCCGGATTCTGAAATTCTTCGAAGAAAGTTTTTCTTTATAACCCAAGGATCAATAATATATGATTTCTAATTCATTTTATAGCAAATTTCGTGGTCAAATCTAACTTTTGTCGAAACCCTAGGTTTTGCTCTAACCCCACAATTTTACCTAAATCTTTGTGTGTTAATCTACACAAGACTCGAGTATTAAACTAGAAATAGATAGGATAAACATACCTCAAGATGCTAGGTGAAGGTCGTCTCTCAAGAGCTCCAAAATCGCCCAATGGATGAGTGAAAAATAGCCAAAAATGACTTGGAGCCCGCAATAAATGAAGCTCGCTGCTTTAGTGATTTCCGCATCTGCGGTCAGGGGATCGCATCTGCGGAACTGGCCAAGCGGATCTGGGACCGCTTCTACGGTCTTAAAGCCGCTTATGAAGTTTTGGGCCTAACCTGTCTAGGCCGTATCTGTGAGAGGACGACCGCTTCTGCGGTCTCACACCTGCGGCTGACCAACCGCAGGTGCGGTTATGACAGAAACCAGATGCTTCAGCTCTTTTCAACTTTTCCAACTTCACTCGAGCCTCGTCCGATTGACGCTCGGGGCTCCCGAGCCCCGCCCAAACATACCGACAAGTTTGAAATCATGAAACGGACCCGCTCGAACCTTCGGAACACCCGAAACAATGCTAAATCTATGAATCACCCCTTAAACCAATTGAATCAACCTTATGAACTTCATGTTCTTAAATTCACTTCTAACGTTCCGAAATATGCTTATACTACTCGGATTGACACCAAATTTTGCGGGCAGGTCTTAAATGTTATATTGGACCTGTTCTGGGCTATGGAACAAACATACGAGCCCGACACCAACTTGATCAATCATTATTTAGTTTCTTTAAATCCTTAAAATTTTAGTTTAACAATTTCTAATAAAAAATCATTACTCGGGCTAGGGACCTCGGAATTTGATTCCGGACATACTCCTAGGTCCCATATTTTCCTACGAATTCGGGACTGTCAAAACATGAATCCGGGTCTGTTTTTTAAAAATATTGACCAAAGTCAAACTTAGCCTTTTAAGAAAACCTTAAGGAATCAAATGAGCATATTTCAATCCAAATTCTTCCAAATCCCGAACCATCCATCCCCGTAGGTCATAAATTAGTTAAAGCAAGCACAAGAAGTTTTATTTAGGGGGACAGGGTTCTAAAAAGCAAAACGACCAGTTTGGTCGTTACAAGAGCATCCTGAAGTTCCGGCGTGGCGATGAACCCCTCTAGGACCTAAATTGGTCCTACTGGAACTGTCTGGGCTGGAACCTCATCATCAAACTCAACTAGAGGATCCGCCACTGGTGTTGGTGTTGCTGCTCGAGCTCTAGGCTGAGCTCTGCCTCTGCCTCGAGCCCTAGCACCGCCTCGGCCTCTACCCCTCGCAGGAGCTGCTACTGGGGGCTCGGGCTGCTGGTAAGCTGATGAAGCAGTACGTGTTCTCACCATCTGCGAAAGAATAGAGTGGAAGTTCAATTAGCATTGAGAAATCAAGTCGCACGACTGGAAAGAATAGATGTGAAGTTTTTCCTAAACTCCATATCCTCTGGGGATAAACACAGACGTTTCTGTACCGATCCCTCAGACTCTACTAAGCTTGTCCATGAATTGTGAGACCTAATCAACCTAGTGCTCTGATACCAACTTGTCACGACCCGGTTTTTCCACCATCGGGAGTCGTGATAGAGCGTACTCATGAAAGCTAGGCAAGCCGAGTGTTACAGATTTTATTACCCTTTTTCCTTAACCTTTTAACGGTTCCAAATTAACATATGATCAACATCAGAATAACCATAATAATAAAAGAAATACGGAAGACAAAATCTGATAATTTAACTAAATACTAGTACCAAATCCAACATATAACTCTACCCAGAATTGGTGTCATAATGTCACGGACCATCTACGAATACTACAAATAGTGGTTTGAATGAAAAGTACAAGTTTGTCTCTGAAATACATAAAAACAGAATGGAAAAGATATAAGGGGATGCCAAGGCCTACGGACGTCTGCAGGACTACCTCGGGTCTCCGCTGGACTGAAGGCAGCAACCTCTCTATGGTCCAAATGCTCCAGTACCGGGATCTGCACACAGTGCAGAGTGTAGTATCAGCACAACCGACCTCATGTGCTGGTAAGTGTCAAGCCTAACCTTGGCGAAATAGTGACAAGGCTAGGACAAGACTACCAAATAAACCTGTGCAGTTATATCATATACAACAAATAATAACAACAAAAACTAGTAGTTAAAGATGGGAAGGGAGAACATGCTGCGGGGAAACATCGAGTACTAATATAGCTTCAGTATAGAAGCATAAAGAACACCATCATTTCATATCAGTAAGAATAAGGGAAGCAGTAACAAGTGCACGGCATCACCCTTCATGCTTTTACTCTCGTTCTCGCCATAAAAATCAAAAGATTCGGCACGGCATCACCCTTCGTGCTTTTACCTTACATAATCATGGCACGACATTATCCTTCGTGCATTATCACTCATATCATGGCACATCATCACCTTTCGTGCTTTTACATTCACAATATCAGCACGGCATCACCCTTCGTGCATTAACACTCACTCACAAATATCACGCACGGCATCACCCTTCGTGCATTAACACTCACTCACAAATATCACGCACGGCATCACCCTTCGTGTTTTTACACTCTTCCTTACCCAAGCAACAATCACAAAGTAATTCGAGCTAGGGAATTAATAAAATCACAATAGAATCCCAGTAAGGGAACAATAACATAACAATAATATCCTGGCAAGGGAGACAATATCATAAGCAATAACATTCCGGCAAGGGAAAACAATATCATAAATCTCATCTCATTTCCACAATCACTTCACAACTTAAATCTCAACTTGAGCCAATGGTCAATTACCAAGAATACTTCCATAAGCCTTGTTCAACATTGATAATCATCATAGTAAGCATGGACAACACATAACGGAGTCACAAGAATTATAGTATAAGACTCACGAGCATGCTTGACACCAACGTATAGATACTCGTCACCACACCTATATGTCGTACTCAACAATTAACACATAGCAAAAAGACCACAACTCCTATTCCCTCAAGCTAAGGTTAGACCAAACACTTACCTCAATGCCACAAACACAATCAATCCTCAACTANCTCAACAATTAACACATAGCAAAAAGACCACAACTCCTATTCCCTCAA